TAATCAATAAAACTTGAAGAGTTTCGGTATATTCTAGAATTAAACTTCTATATATTGTTAGGAGCCGTGTAAAACTTATTTTTATTCAAATTGTTTAAAATAAAAAGTGATGATATTCGTTAAATCGCGGCATTTTCTTTGTGGCATAAATATGTTTAAGTTTTCTTGAAGATAAACTTCTTAAAAATCTGGCAAAACCACTAACGTATATATATATTTTTTTTTTTCTGATAAACTTTCTAATTTTAATACATTTACCAAGTTACAATAAATCAATACGTTTTCAGAGAGCACCAGTGGAACGCCTTTTAAAAATGAAATTGTCGGATGGATGGGAACCTTTGTGCAAATTTCTCGGAAAGCCTATTCCAAGCGAGCAATTTCCACATAAAAATATAAAAGGATCAGCGATGGAGGAATTCGTTAACTAAAGCCCGTTTGCTCGACAAATCAAAAGAGAAGTGTTCATAACGAAAATTGCCATTTCAGTGTTATTAGCTGTGGTTGCTTTCTTTCTCAGCAAGTCATTTTTCTGGACGATGATTTGAAATCATCCTGGGACATATCTATTTCAGTAGCGGAGTTACAATGTTCAAATTGCTTTTAGTTAAATACCTATATTTGTCTATAGAATTTATTTAGAAGGATTTGAGAATAAATGTTGCATAACTACTGGAAAGATATTTGCAAAACAAATGCGGGATATTTTGAAGATGTAATTATGCCTCAAACTAAATGCATTGTTAGATTAAATTTCACCAGACTACTGGGCGCGTGTTTATAGACTATAGGGATGGCGAACCACTGACCCGCGGGTCACAAAGTGACCCACCGCGTTTTATTCGTGACCCGCCAAGGCACGAATAAAATAAGAAAAATGCTAACATATCAGTGATAAAAAATATTAAAATCGGCCTTAAATTAATCTAACAATACCTAAACTATTATAATGTAGCGTCAGTTGGGCAGTCAGGGCTGCGATCGCTTATATTCAAATTGTTAATTTCCGATATGATAATATTCAAAACCCCTAATCTCGGACGCATGTCAGCACCGTTGTGTGCCGTTATTCAGCTATTGGCTCTGACATAGTTTATGACATAACAATCCAGTTGATGTTCATTTCTCGCAACGTCTTGTCTCTTCAGAAGTGCATCTGCAGACTGTTTTAGGGGTTGTACGGGAACTAGATGCCACTTTGCATTTTATTAGTTTCTCGCCTACAATGCCGTTGAGAATACAAAATCTTTCAGACTTAAAATAAAAACCTAGAAATCTGGAATAACAATGGGGCAGTGTAAAAGTGCTTTTAATATGGTTAAAGCTGATATAAAAATAAAGCACTATCAGAGTGGAATTCCCTTCAAACTCTTTGGAACCGTAAAATAATTTGCCGCATCATCCTAAACGTAATTCATATGTGTGTTTTCGTACCCCTAATCGAGTGCCATAAAAAGTTCCTGCCAAAGTGCTGTAAAGTAAAGCACTAAACTACACCAACATTAACAGAACCGTTGTATTATGATTTGTTTCAGATGTTTCTTATAGATACAAACATTGATTGAATATCTGTGACCCACTCTCTTCTGTTCCGCGATAAAAATATGATTTTTGACCCATTCATTGAAAAAAGGTTCGCCATCCCTGCTATAGGTTATAGGTTAAGGCTGTGCGCCATCTTGGTGCACATACTTCGGGAGCGCCCAAAAACACACAACTGTATTACAACCAAACCATTGCCATGCATTACAAACCGTAACAACAGTACTCTCAATAAATTTGTGTGGCATTTGCAGATTTGTGATGAATTGTGTTTCTCCAATAGCAGAAAACTTTTTCTGTACTACATGATCATTGGAAAATTCCTTTTGGTTATCCTGACAGTATTCCCGTGATATGACGCTTACAAATTTGTTTACATTTTCATGACCATGATATTGATTAAAAATATTTAACCCATGTAGCACTGTTCTACATGTAGTACTAGTAGGTAACTTTAGCTCAGTTAATCACTCACTGTAGGCTACATAATATTTTTGCAATCTGCAAAAACTTTCATTCCCAACATTCATCGACTTACAATTACAATACATGTCAAGTTAATTTTACTCCCACATCTTCGACATGTGAACACGTCTGACATTTGTTTGCACGTTATCACATTCTTTTATTTGGCAGTTTGGTGAATATTTCTATAAGTAACAAAGCTAAAATTCCAAAACCGCTTGACATGCGGTTTCGCAATGCTATTCTATTTCAAACATTCATTGACATGTCAAACCATGTTAATTGATTTACTTTCACGTGCTCAACATTGGTATTTACAACTGATTTCTTTGCACGTCAAACCAACCAACCATAAATTCTTGTGGGCTATCAGAGGAAAAAGAAACATTTTCTTGCATGCAGCGTGTTCGGATAATGTACAACGTTTGACAGATAATTGTGAAGTGGGGAACGCGCATAATCAAAATGAAGGTATTGGTAGATGCATTTTCAAAATGTGGAACAAAGACCTTTGCTTCTGCATCTCGCACTCTGGGTTATTCTGTCTATGATTTTGAAGAAAATGAAAATTATCTTCGGAAAGAATGGATGAAAATAATGACCGAAGGGGGGACGAAAGATGACTTTTATCGAATTTATAGAGACATTGATGCTGCTGCAGACATCCCTGCATAGGGATTTGTTCAAAAAGATTTGTTTTAAAACAATTGTTTTAAATCATGTTTTTTTTTTTGCCTGGTTTGTTCAAAATGGCGGTTGTACTTTTTTTTTTGTATTAAATAGGTTAAAACAAGAAAAATTTAAGCAAAACTCCCCTTATCGATTCCTATAGTCAATAAACTATTCGAAACGCCGCAGGACGTTACGAACAGGTCGATGACTTGCTCGAACACGCCCTCTCAAGCTGTACAACAACGCTCATGTCGAACTACGCCACCACGTGTTGGAGTTGTGACCCGCCAGATTCACAAAGGCGGCGAAGTTTTCGGTTTTCAGTAAGCATTCTGGTATCGAACGTCGTCGCTGCGTCTTTCACCAACGGTTGTGCGCCGGTTATCGGAACGCTACCGATACCATAACGAAGTGTTTGCTAAATGTCTGGTAGAAAGAGAAGTTGGATATGGTCTCTTTACCGTGAAATTCCACCTAACACAACGGAAGGTAAAACTCACTGCAGGAGGGCTGTGTGCGAGTATTGCGACAAAAATATTGTAGGAATAGTGAAGCGCATGGTCATTCATTCGTGAGTCTATTTGTGTTTACATTGTTACGGTATTTCTGATGCTAAATTTGATTGCCCCAAGAGTCTAAGTACCGGTACTAATACACTGAATATATTATATTACCGGTATTTATTGCTATACAGGAATAACTTGCTTTAGTTTAAGAACACGCTCGCTGTGGCACTCCTGATGCATACCAGGACGGAACCGCTGTGGTTTAACTCGGTGCTGTAATCTGGTGCAACTCTGTAGGTTAATCATTTATTTTTAGCTAGGATATGCCCAGCGTCCTTTTAATCCAATTATAATATAATTTACAGTACCCGGGTACCGGTAGGTCAGTATTTACGTACGTAGGAAATTCTATGGGCCAAGAAGTTTGTACTGGTATAGTTTTTCCATCTGTTTTACCCCACCCTATATCTAGATAAATATAAAAAAAAGAATCTTTTCTGCTTTTTAGGGGTGCACCAAAACACCACAGTGCATGAAAGATTATCCAGCAATGAAAAGCCAAATGGGCGCCAAAAGGCAACTTTCTGATGTTGCTTCAAGTATTTCCTGCAAAGCGAGTGATATTTTACAATCAAAATTGTTATCGTTTTTTGATCGTCGAACATCTAATGAGGAAACTAATGTTCTGCATCAAGAACTAACTAACTTTGGCTCTAGTAACAAATATTTTTTTTTTTTTACATTTTAGAAAATTTTGTTCCGACAGTGTGTGCAGCTGCTAAAACGCACCATTTTTCCGTAGTTTCGCGTTGATAGGGGGGGTATTTCAGTGAAAAATACAAAAAAAAATGTTTTTAAACAAGCCCTTGTTTTAAAACAAGCTGTTCCTTTTGAAAATCAAAAAAACAAAACCCTATCCCTGCATGTCTTTTCTGGGAAGAAATTTCCGGAGCGTTTCCCGACGTAAAGGTACAAAAATGCTTTTGATGTTTCGAATATAAGTGTAGGGGTCCACATCGAAAAATCAAATATTGTATCAGAATCAAAAGTTATCCTGTATTTCAAAAAAATTGCTATGTTAAAAAAATCTTTTTCAATCAAAAAATTACACCATTAATTACATCGATTTCGTTGGATACAACTACTCAAACGTGACGATGGTAGGGATTTGTTCAAAAAGAATTGTTTTAAAACAATTGTCTTGAACCAAGTTTTTTTGCTGTTTTTTTTTTGCCTGTTTTGTTCAAAATGGCTGTACTATTTGATTTTTTTGTATAAAATAAGTTGAAGTTGTTACGCCACAATAGTGTCAATGGTGCTGCTGAGTAAGCCAGCCTGGAGAAAACGGCCGAAGGTCTGGATTTATTACCGACATTCCTAAAAAATTACATTCTCCCAAAAGCTCGTTTCTGAAAACAACAATCTCGCAGAAATTTTGTTCACACACTATACGATTGTGGAAACTACTTTCTGCAAAAGTCTGAAATAGATTTCGACGTAATTTTTCTGGATCTTTTGTAGAAAGCCCCCGGCACTAATGCAAAAATAATGTGACTTGAGAAAAACACTCCCAAAATTCAAAAATTGAATTTCCAGCGCAATCTGTATTCTTCACCCTAACTAACTGGATGATTACCATTTTTTTTTTCAATTTTCACGGCTCTGTACAAAAGATCCATTTTTCTTTCATTGGTGTAAACTTGATTTAATATATATATACTATTTCGTCTCGTTTATTGTCAATAGCGTCAGGTTTAGGGAGACTTTAATTTTTATAGGGCTTTGCTGATTCGGTACCAACCACAATATGAGCCTTTTGAAGCAACTATTATGACGCAACGCATCGCTGCGAGAGAAGAATGTCCGAGGAAAGTAAAAAGCAAAGCGAGAGCGATTTCAGCAGCATTCGATTTAATTTGTGTCGACAACTGTGGCGTGAAACATCGTTCGGATTTCACAATGAAGGTTTTAGTCGTTGGGCATTCAAAGACTGGTACCAAGTCGATGAATGCGGCTCTTCGTAAGCTAGGATACAAAGTTTATGATTACGAACATAATTTTTACTATCTAAGAAATGATTGGATAAAGATCTTCACAAAAGGCGGCACAAAAGAAGATTTTTACCGAATGTACAAAGATGTTGACGTTAGTATGGACATTCCTGCAAATATATTCTGGGAGGAAATTTTGGAAGCATTTCCAGACATGAAGGTAGGAATTGATTGTGCGATACTTTCCTGGGATAGCTATAAATATAAATCGGTACTATCTATGATTATGTTAAGCATAGACTAGGTTAACGTAATACTTGAAAAAAGGTGAACAGCATCAAAGAAAATAGATCATAAAATAATTTTCTATGTTGGGGTGGGTCAAAAATGGGTTAGGACCTATTGTTCTTCTGGCAGCGTGTAGATTATGAAATATTACTCTCTTGTTATCAATCAAGTCAACAGTGCAGTTTAGCTATGATAATATGTAGCCCTTGGTGGTGCCTCACAAATTTGTTTGAAGAATTATACCTAGTAAAATATTCGTTCGACAGATATTATTGGTGTTTACGTACTGTTTGCAAATTTTGCTAGCGTTCGAACACTGAACAACATAATTTGTATTGTAAACAATCCGCACAAATCTCAAAATAATTTGAAATGAAATCTGCCCCGGAGGCACACAAAAATGTTCCCACGACCAATATCGGATTATTATGCATTCAGATCAAGTATCGGCTGACCATTGTCTATTTGTTCAGTTTTCAGCGAAAAAGCAACAGGAAAAACTATTTTTAGTTATACTTCACAACTTCCGTATCTCTTTCAATTCAAAGCTAACATGGTTTCTCCAGTATATATAACCATAAACACTAACCATAAACATACCATATAAACATTTATTTGGGATGTTGCCACAGACTAAATAAACATATTGTTGAAGCTTGCATTTTACGTGGATAAAATTTAATTTTCCTTAAATTAGAAATGAATTATTTAACATTTAATTTTGACTGTTTACTACACATTACATCTTCGACTTTCGTTAAAAAGTCTATTTGATAAAGCTTAGTTGAAGATCCGCAAGTCGATTGGCATATAATATCACTATAAAACTAGTGTTCGAGTTGGCACAAGAATTATTGTACAAAATGACATTTAGATTAATATATATTTCAATGACTAATTTGTGGCAAACAATCAGTACTGAAATTATTATCGCATCTACCTAATATTAGTAAATCTACTCGTCTTTCAATCGTCTCGATGGTCACGACTGACCATTGTGAATCGCCTTTTCGCGCTCCATCGAAGCGAGTAAGGTGCAACAGAACGCTATACTGCTCATAGTTTTGCTGTTGGAATGTGCGAAATGGGATTTTAGAATTTAGATTCATTGTGATATAAAATATGAATTAAGGGTAACGTTTCAAATTCTCGTATTTGTAGTGCAATTTTATGTATTACTAAAGGGAAAGTCCTTGACTGGTAAGTCTTAAAAAGCTCTCATGCCCTCCCTGCTCAGCGTGTTTTTACTGCCACACCCTGACTAAGCTATCAAGAGAATGTGGTACCACTCGCTAATTTTAATAATGCGGTCAGAATTTCTCAGAATATTATCAAATAACATGAAATTGTCCTTGGTAGTAAATACCAGCTTTTCAACATACAACAAATCACGAAGTCAGTTGACGTATATTTAATTGGCATATTTACCTAACCTGGTTTATTGTGGCCACAGGTAAACATCAATATCTGCCAAATTGCACGAGAACGGAGCGTATTTATACATCGCATTATTATTGGCCAAATATGAGTATTAAAATTCGCGAAGTTAGTTGCCTGTGCGGATTTACGGCCACGCTTACCCTGGCTACGCTTTGATGATGGGTTGTCAGTAAACATTTCGTAGAATTTGACGAATGTGCGTTGAAAACGAAGGTCGTCGATCAATACCAGTCGCGTGGAGAAGGGTTCAATCTAATAGAATACCTTCGTTGTGTATCGCCGAGGCTTATTAAACGTTTCGAAGACAATTCGAATTAAGTGTTTGAGCGCACTCACTTTCCGAGTCTGTAATCAAACTTTCCGATTTTTTAAATTTTTGCTACAAAGTTACAAACTACTTTATACAATTCGCAAAAAAAAATCAAAAAAGATCTTTAAAATATTTGATATGGGACGTTTATGATAACTCAATAATGCCACATTCCTCTTTCAAATTTCAATTTTTCAGTGGTAGTGCATACGCGGTCAAAGCCTGAGCGACGCCCCAAAATGAATTTGATAATCTCATAATCCTCCCTAACCTAATCCTAAGGACCTAAGTCATCAATACACTAATATTTCAGATGATATTTATGAAGAAGAATAGCGAAGAAGAGTGGATCAAAAGTTGGGAAAAACAGGCAAAAAGCATTGCAGATAACTATTTAATGACTGCACTTGCATTTCTATCGCCTACTGCATATTCAATCTTCAACTATACACATCATGTCGGTAAGCTCACGAGATAAAGCTCGTCAGAACATTGAAATACATATGCGCATTATATAATACGTAATTATGTCAGTCTAAAGGCCAACTATGCTGAGACCATTTAAATATCGATTGAAAATATATATCCACATCTATTCATGTTTTCTTTTCCTTTATTTTTGGTACTCCCGAAGTATGTGAACCAAGATGGTGAACAGCGGAACGTAGTATGTGTAACAGCTACCAGAGTAGGGCTAGGTCATAATTTCAGATACAAATAGTGCGGGAGTCACTTGGCCAGCCCCCGAACTCGTAATAAAACTAAAATAAGGAAAATTGGAATAAAATTATGGCCTAACCCTAACTTACCTGTCAGTAAACGGGAGTACCTTATTTTGGATGTATCGTTCGCTAAGTTCAGTACACCATGCATGGTATGCGATTACCAACTTGCGCTATCATAATATATACGCGACCAGGGAACGAATGATCGACGCCAGTAAGCATGCGGTATCTGTACCTGTTATCGGTAATTGACAATTCCCATTGCGATGACAATAATACGGTGAACTTCTTGAGACGCCATCCATTGATACATACATACATTGTTACATGGCGCATTTCTGATTGGCTATTTGTTTGAAATGTTGAATAATAAAGTGCAAAAATGAGACGGAGCCGCTGTATTCCGGAAATTTCAAACGTATTACAACGACCTTTATGACGCAACTTATGGTTATCATTGAAACACAATGCAGCTTTGGTTTACCAATGAATATTCCGCTGACGCATGCACAATATAGCCTAATAGGGCAATCTTCTTTATTAAGCATATGTGTTAGTGTATAGGGTCTAATAATATATGTTCATAATAACTTTGTCATAAAACACCGTGAAATTTTATTGTACTTCAACGTCATATCATAATTGCATTTTTATCATACCTTTATTATGTAATAATAGCCTATAGCCATACTTTTTCGCTACACATTGTTGTCGTCGTTGGCCTAAAAGCCATATGTTTGCAAAGCTATAGCTAGGGTTGCCAACTATGAAAAGTTTCAATAAAGGACATAGATTACCGTCATCATTTATTTTGTAACTTGCAGGAAAAACAATATAAAACAATGAAATAAAAATCATATACAAGCTAAAAAGATATATTAAAACAATCTTCATGTGTTTTTCATTTAATGTTTATTTAACATTGAACCAAACAATGTTAATGAAATTGTTATTTCTCTGGCTATTTGAGCCGGACCAAAGCGAAATTTAAAATAATAATTAAAAGCTTGCAAATACATAAACGGAGGCAATTTTTAAGAACGGAACAATATTAAACACAGTCAGACAGTACTATAACTATCGGGCAAAACGACGTTGGAAAGAATAAAGGACAATTAGCATCTTTTCTAAATGCTGAAAAGGACAAGGACCGAAAAGCTTGAAGGATTGTCTTTTGAAATAAAGGACGGTTGGCAACCCTAGCTAAAGCGCTTCATTCACATGCGAACATTTACAATATAAGGAGGCGATAAAAATAAAAAAACGTGTCTAAGTTGAATATCAAACAAATAAATATCAAACAAATATTCATTTATACGGGATTATATTTTTCTTCTTTTCCATGATTTGCTTTATTAGCACAATTTTGCGTTTGGCGAGTTTTCGGCAGGCGATTTACCGATTCATCATAATTAAGAATGTCAATGGCTTATCTGTAACTGTAAGTCAGTTTAAAAGGTTAGACTTTGCAGTTGTCAGTTACAGCTCCGTAGGTGGGTGGGATTTGGTCGTTTTGACAAAAACAAATTGAAATACAGTGACTTGAAATTCAACTTCAAAAATGGTTTTTACCCTTCTTTGGGTAGGATTTCATGAAAGTATAAATATATGTCCGATCGATATAGGAATCGTCCGATATAGGAATCATACACTGTTTAAGATGAACAGGCGTGATTAGTACAGAAAACTTTAATCCATATAAAGATGGGTAACTCCCACCCCCGGTGCAGTCATGAAAGTAAAATAAGCTATCTTTGGAATTGTAATTTTGTGGAAATGATATCCTTAGTTTTCATTTAAACATGACGAACATATCGATTACACAGCGAAACATTTTAATGCCATCTCAGGAGTTCGCGGTTTGTCAAGTATGTTTATAATGTGTAACTAATTCGCGGTCCAATTCTTTTCTAGGTCGTGTTGCTTTTTGTGCACCACCGCAAAGATTTTATCATGCGTTCCGAGGAATAAGTCCAACCGTTGCAAAGAAAAGATATAGGGATCACAACACCGGCGTCTTAGCGGTAAATATTCCATTAGTCTTTCCCAGTTTTCTTGTCAAATTTAATCTGAAAATTGAAACAGATGTGGTGGGAGTATGAAGCATTCGAAGGGGAATATGTATCTCAGCTAAGTTCAAGCACTCGTTATATTTATTTGTTAAATTATGTAAATTTAAAAATACTTGCATCTGACATCGGCTTATTAAAAATCCAGCAATCTACTCCTAGTTGGGGAAAAATTTCAATTTCAACTTCGGTTTCAATATACTTAAGAAAATAGTTTATAATTGAACATTGTTCCTATTACTGCAATATTTTGACAATGATTCGAAGGAGTTTGAAAATGCGAAGTCGTTCTTGACTCTAACATTAACAAAATCTGCCCGGTTTTGATTCTACGGACGTGTAATGTAAATAATCAACGTTGTTATTTGTTACAGAGAGCTCCAAAAGATCAAATACTTGAATTTAAATTAAGCCAAGGATGGGAACCTCTGTGCAAGTTCTTGGGAAAGCAAATCCCAGAAGAAGATTTCCCCCACAAAAACAGGAACGCATCTGTGCTCCAAGATCTATTGAATGAAAGTCCTGTCTTCCATCAGATGAAATTTGAAATGAAAATTATTGTATCAGTTTTAGTTGTTCTTATCGCGATAGCAGTGTTTTATTTCTTTTTTTAAATGCTTATACTCAATCATGGATGAACAAATACACGGCCACAAAGTATTAGATATATATATATTTACTAAATGCCACACATGCAATACCACCCGTGCACAAATCTGCCTTCAAACACAGCTGTAAACTTTCTATCGATTATCCTATGTGAGAAAAACATTTTGTGCGCATTATCAACGATATAGATATAAATTTCAGTTCGACAAATCTGTGAAATAAAGAGTAAATTCTGTCCGTAATATGTGTCGTTTGAAGACAGTTATTCGAACCAAAGAATTACTGCAATAATCCAGTTGTCAATATGAAAAATTTGATATCTATCCTCTCAACTTCAATTATCTTAGCATAAATTTGTGTTTGTAGAAATATAACAAACACCTTGCAAATTTGCTGGTCACATTCAATGAATAGAACATATGTGCTCGTTTATCTGTCACATTCCGTTATTAAGCTGGCTTTCCTAATTCTTTTCAAAGCTAAAAATTATATCGAAAAGTTATATAAAAACTAAAGGATATGCTGAATTGTTGTAAAATGTAATTTTTTGTAATATTTATCTTCTTCATAATTTCAATAAATGGGTGTTATTTTATCTTCTTAAGTAATTCAATAGTTTTGCTGCACACTAACACTAAGGTGCTCCTGAAGTATGCTCACCAAGATGTCGCATAACCTGAACCCTATTCAAGTTGTGCGCCATCTGAAGGTCCAACACTAATATATTCCTGTAACGTTTCAACTGACCAAGATCAGATCAGACATAGATAGTTCAACTACATAGTTGAACCATGTATATCTGAGAAAGTCTGACCTTGGGTAGACGAAACGTAACAAAGGGAGAAGTAGTTAGTCTTGTAGAAACCCAATTGATAGCATTATTTTTTCTTGTATGAAAATGAATATAGTATAAATAAACTAAATCCTTACCCCATATTCAATTACATTTTTAGAACTAACAAATGCTACGATTTGCGGTATTTTATTGCATTGTACAATAAAATGATTCATACATTTTTTACGCTTTTTATTTCGTTAAATTGAATTGCTTTTCGTTGCAACACAGAAATATGGGTTTTAATCTGAACGCTCGATATCAAAATTAACAAGTTCGTTGTTGTACAGCGAGTATTTGGCAAGCTAAACTGATGATTTCATCGTTTATATTTTCATATAAAGTAGGCTATATGTGATATATTGTATCAGATTATCATTTTTTTCGATTGCTACTTACGTAATACAATAATATAAGTTTCCGTGCCTTTCGTGCGAGTTACGGGTATGAATGTTTCCCCGAACATCAATTTCCTTGTTTTTTCCGTAACAATGACCCATCTGCAATAAGTCAACAATGACGCAACAATTTCAATTTGTGCAAACTCTAAGACACTTACTTGAACTAGGACAGATTTTCGCGCATGTTCGTAAACATTGCCTTGTTTTCGTCAGTTTTGAGTTGTGTCCGGCGTAGCTATGGGGTGGGGACCATGCCCCCCCCTCCCAAATTTTCAAAATTTGTTTTTTAATTCCATGTTGCGGCATTTGCAGAGAGACATAAATTCAGAGGCTTTTTCTAATAACATTTTGCTCTATTCTTGAACAATTCACCAAAAATCGGACGTTTCCTGGCTTGTTATCAATATCATTTCACCAAATGAACCAAACGAGATAGATTAAAATGCTCTGTTGTATGCCTCGGATAACTTCGACAGCGAAGTACGTCTGTACAGCGATTTTTTATGATATTGTTAGATGTCAGTGTAACTGGCTTTGTTTGGTGCAAAAGGCACGAGTGAGCGTCATATTAAGTCATTATACAAAAAAAAAATGGCCACCCTAAAATTTGGGGCTGGCTGCGCTCGTGTGTTATGCTTTTATAAATTGGTTGTAAATCATATAATTTAATTGCTATTATGTCTTCCGAGGATCTTTAGCTTAGTTGCAATACCGAACCACGAGCCACTGTCAAATAAAAAAAAAAAAATTTTCAAAAAGTTTTATCTTTGGTACTGGCCTAATAGATTCATTCAGAATGTTTCCGATTAATATGTCCAAAGTGGAGATAGAAAATACGTTCGATCCTCTCGAATTGATTACCAACTGATTGCAAAGGTTTTTGCATCAACTACATCGAGGCTATCCGCCCGGTCTGAGAGGGACGTCGAAAATCAGACGTTATCTAGATCCTGGAGTTCGTAATCCACTACCACTAAATTATTGTAGATTATTGAATGGTAATACGGAATTTTGGCCTAATTGAATCGTGTTCGGTGTCAAATATAACTGATTATTCGCAATTTATAATATTCAATTGAAACCAACAATGAAAATATGTTTTTTATTTATCTATCAATCTATCTCGCAAATCTAACTAGAAATTATTTATCATATAACTATCAATGATACGACTTCTTATTTGGAAATGAACGTTACTTTTTTGTAAAAAGTAGTCAAGTCCCGCAGATTGAGAATAAAAGAAGTGGTCAAGAGCACACGAAGTATTAGATATTCATTTCGGCAGTGATTGCATATGATGAGGAAAAAAACATTGCATATTTCGAAAATGAAGAAAAGAAATTATCCAAACCCAGAATTCCAAAATTGCAAGATCTTTACCACCCCCTAATCTGCGAAGATGAGGAACATCCTAATGATATGCTGACACTATAAATTGATAAAATATTAAAAATACCGATTTTTTTCCAAGAAGAAGATAAAAGATACGAACAAGAGAGCTATGTTCAAATATATGGACACGTCACAAGATGCCGCTATTTTTTGTTCTGACACATAAAAAACTAATCTCTTAAAGTTCACAGAGATTTTTGAAACAAATAAAAGTAATACTCATCTGGCGAAAAAAATCGATCTTTAATCTTTGAAAATTCTAAATCAATTGGTCCAGTAATCAAAGAGAAAAGCGGTTTTTTAATATCGTTAAAATTTTGTGTCAAAGAAGAAGAAGAGTTACAGCATAACATGCAAAACGATAGTTATGTCTACTGACGTGTCCAACAAGAAGAATACCAACAACAATGTAATAACAAAACGATCCATAGCGTGTCCAACAAAGAAGCAATGCTTAGAAAATATGGACGCGGAAGCCAAAACAAAGTAGTACGGATATGAAATCTTTTACATTATCGGAACCGTTGTCTATCGACTGAGCACCAAAACGCGAACGCGAAAGATGTCGTCGTACAAAAATCTATAGTGAAAACAAATCTCATTGAAGCTCACAGAAATATTTGAAATAAATAAAATATAGCGACAACAACAATCTCTAACCACTGAAAATCTCAAAGCGATTGAGAGAGATTTATTGTTCCGTCATCCAAAACACCAAGATGGCGCCCAGCCTGAACTCAGGATGTTATATAGGAATACACAATACATTATGTTCGGTTATACACAATGTTCGGTATTGAATGGGATGAGCGATACAACCATTAGGTCATCAGAGTCAGCTCCCCTTAAATTTACTATTGAGATTCATAGTTAATGTATTTAAACGATGTATAAAAATGCTGCTTGTTTAGAGTTAGCCAGTTATTTTGCAGAATATTTTCTGATTTGGCTATAAAATGATTAAATAAATTGAACCCGAATTTAACATTGCAGTGTTATAGATAGGGGCCCGGTTAGATCACTTCTAATCATTGTTGAGTTATTATATTTTTTAGTTTTGGTAAATACATCAGTGGAAATCTGCTAGGATGCTTGAATGTAGAGAAAAAAAATTTGAAAATCCATTATCATGAAAAAATTTAAACTCAACATCCTATGTGTTAGGCTGCTTGGACATTATTTGTAACACCAAAAATTTTTAAAGGGAGAAAAACGATTTATCATTTATGATTTGGAAAACATTGAAGAACTTAACAACCCATTATCATGGAAAATTTGGAATAATATAAGGGATTATTTCATTTAACAAGAGAGCTACGCCCAAATATATGGACACGTCTGTTCGCAGTACAGTACGGTTTACCGTACCGTCAGATCACAGTCTACTAATATATTCGCACCAAGCGAAGCAGTAGGCCTACAGTCGGACATGAAATGGCGTGCGATACCCGCAGAACGTTCAGTGACGTCATAGCAAACAAAACAAATCTCACCGAGCTAACAGAAATATCTGAAATAAATAAAAGTAATAGCCTTCCGAAGTAAAATTTCATCTTCAACCACTAAAAATTTCAAAGCAATTGGTCCAGTAATCAAATGGAAAAGCGTTTTTTTAATATTTCCGCTAAATTTCCAAAAAGTGTCAAGGAACAACAAGAACAACATAACAACACAAGAGAGCTACGCCCAAATATATGAACACGTCTGTTCGCATTACAGTACGGTGTACCGCACCGTCAGATCACAGTCTACAAATAATATTCACACCAAGCCAAGCAGTACAGTAGGACACAAAATGGCATCCGATGCTCGCAGAACGTTTAATGACGTCATAGCAAACAAAAACAAATCTCACAGAGCTAACAGAAATAATTAAAATGAATAAAAGTAATAGCCTTCTGGAGAAAAATCTCATCTTCAACCACTGAAAATTTCAAAGCAATTGGTCCAGTATTCGAAGATAAAAGCGATTTTTTAATAGGTTTTTTAAATATGTAAATCCTATCCTATCCTTCTTTGCAACTAACCCCCAAGCCCTATTTTTCTGACCAAACATTCGATTCTGTCTATCCACGCTCTGTTCTACGGGAAAATCAGATGTGCGTGGAGTCTGACTTTCTGAGAATCAAATTTTTAATTGCTTGCTTACGTCATGCCGATGATCAGGACAATGGCTGATCCCGTTTGAGTAATAAATACAGTATATTATTTGACATTTATTTTCCTTTCTATATATCTGATGAATTTATACAGTGCATTAAGTTGCATCGTTGGTTGTGGATTTTAAGAAACGTGCTCATAACTGTAATGTTTTGCTTTTACAAACCACTCATGAAACATTTTTTTTAATATTTTGTTTTGCTTTTTTCTTATAATATTTTTTGAAGTGTTTTGGTGTTTCATTAATTTTTTGTGCTCAATAACCTGAATCAGCGAGCTTTTAAGGTGTCGCTGCCTGAAGACCTTATGAGGTCCCTCGCGACTCCTGTCACACAACTTAAGTTAAGTTCATATTGTGTTTGAAATTTTTTTTTTTTTTTCCTATGATTGCTTATTTTGTGCTGACGAATAAAATGATGATTGATTGATTGATTGATTCCAATAGGTGTGTTATTCTGTGTCAAATACCAACAAGAACAAGAACAACATAATATTGAAACGATCGTTATGTCCACTACGTGTCCAAAAACGATCGTTATGTCCACTAAACGTGTCCAACAACGATACCGAAGGTCATCGTTTGATAAGGTAGCCTCCCTTAAATTAAATTGAGATTTAAATGATAACATATATACTATTGCTCAAAAAATCAAAGACATTGTAAAATGATGCCACATATATGATAATTTTTTTTTATCTTTAGACATGCGTGAACGCACGGAAAACATTGTGCATAGCCGGTAAACGTTTACTTGTTAATTAATGTAGTCCTGCAGGCGTAGGGTGTAGTTAAAAAGAAAAGCGGGTTTCACAACAGCAATAACAACAATAAGAAATATTCTAACAACAACTTTATAATAAAACGATCCATTTGTCATTTCGTGTCCCCAAAACATAGTTTTTTTTTCATTTATCAAAGTACAACCATAAAAAACGGTATTTAGGTCCATTTCGTGTCCAACTAGAATGATCTACTGCTGCTAGAGGGCGTATTATCAATGGAAGGCCTTTGGCACAAAAAAGAGAGAATGGCCGACTTTACAATTTATATTTTTTGTTTGTTTCAGGGGACAACACTAAAAGGCTGAAGGAAGAAACGGATGAAGTGGAGGGAAAACGGAAGTTGAAGTGTTCCCAAAGGTGAAAAATTAAAAAACACTAAAAGGCTGAACACTAAAAGGAAGAAGTGGATGAAATTTCTTCCGACGGGTAGTTAGGTGGCTGAAGTCACTAAAATGCTGAACACTAAAAGGAAGAGGTGGATGAAATATTTTCCGACGAATAATGAGGTGGTTGAAGTCACTAAAAAGCTGAACACTAAAAGGAAGAAGTGGATGAAATTTCTTCCGACGAATAATGAGGTGGTTGAAGTCACTAAAAAGCTGAACACTAAAAGGAAGAAGTTGATGAAATTTCTTCCGACGAATAATGAGGTGGTTGAAGTCACTAAAAAGCTGAACACTAAAAG